TCCCTCCCTCCCTCCCTCCCTCCCGGCCCGCCCCGAGCCCGGAAAAACGGGGCTGGAGCTCTTGGGATAACCGGGATAAGGGAAACCGGAATAGGGAGAATGTCCCGGGAAAAACGGGATAGGGAGAACCGGGACAGGAGCGTCCCTCGGGAAAACCGGGATGGGAGAATCTCCCGGGAAAAACGGGACAGGGAAAAACCAGGGGTGGGAACATCTCCCGGGAAATCAGGTCATGGAGAGAGGGAATCGGGGCTGGAATATTCCCGAGGAAACCGGGGCTAGAATATTCCCCAGGGTATCGGGGCTGGAATATTCCCGAAGGAATCGGGGCTGGAACATTCCCGAGGGAATTGGAGCTGAAATATTCTCGAGGGAATCGGGGCTGGAATATTCCCGAGGGAATCGGGGCTGGAATATTCCCGTGGGAATCGGGGTTGGAGTATTCCCGGGAAAATGGAAAGAGGGAATTGGGGCTGGAATATTCCCGGGAGAAGCGGGACAGGGAGAATCGGGGCTGAAATATTCCCGAGGGAATCGGGGCTGGAATATTCCCGTGGGAATCGGGGATGGAATATCCCAAGGGCAGAGGAGCGGGAGCACCCAAGAGTTCGCTCCTTGGAAAAAGGCGGAGTTTCCCCTGGAATTCCTGCCCGGAGGGAAGGAGGCGGATCCGTGTCCCAGCTCCAGGGAATTCCCATCCTTCCGCTCCCAATTCCCGGCCCGCAGGAGAATCCCAAACCCCGGGAGTGGCGAGAGGAGCCGCCGGGGAAACTGAGGCACGGAGGGGGATGATCCCAAACTCCGGCCACGCGGGAAGAGCAGGGAATGACGGTCCGGGACGAAGGGAAGGGCCCGGTTTCGTCTTTTCTCCAGGAAAGGCCAAAAATATTGGGAATATTTGAGTGGATTTGGGGAGGTTTCGGCGGAATCGGGTTCCGGTGGCTTTTCCTCCTCCTCGCTTCCCATCCATGGATTTGTCCCGGGATTCCGGCCTGGGGGAGCCTCGCCCCTCTGGATTCTGCCGGAAAAGCGGGATGAGAGGTGGGGGGGGAAAGGGATTGAAAAGAATTAAAATGGAATAAAACCGGCTCGGGAGCCGGGAATGACTCGAATCATTCCCGCGGCTCAAATCCCTTCCACGGAATTCTGGATTCCAGGGAATTCTGGATTACACGGAATTCTGGGTTCCATGGAATTCTGGATTCCATGGAATTGCTGAGGCTGGAAAAGCCCTGGGCGGGGTGGGAGCAGGGAAGCGCCGGTGGATCCCAGCGGATTATTTGGGAATGCGGGGTGGGAAAAGGGCCCCGATCCCAACCCTGTCCCGGCAATCCCGCGGATCCCACCGGGATCCAATCCCAAATCCTCCAGATCCTGCCTGGAAGTGCTCCAGGCCAGGCCGGAGCTCGCCGGGATCAGGGAAGGATTCCCAGCCCCTGGAATTTCGGGTCCCTTCCCACCCAAACCGTTCCAGGCTGAGAATCCCGTGAGGAATTTCTCTTCCCGAGGATTCCCGCAGGAATTTCCTCTCTCCGAGCTCATTCCTCACTCCCGGCCCGTTCCATGGGGGGGATTTTTTTTTTTTTTTTTTAATGGAAAACCTTCAAGGCCGGAATTCCCAGGAATTTTCCCAGGGGATTTGGACCCCGGGTGGGGCCCC